GCGGAGGTGAATAGTAGTAGTAGAAGTAGAAGTAGAAGTAGAAGTAGAAGTAGAAGTAGAAGTAGAAGTAGAAGTAGAAGTAGAAGTAGAAGTAGTAGTAGCAGCAGCAGCAGCAGTAGTAGTAGTAGTAGTAGCAGCAGCAGTAGAATAATAATAATCGTCGTCGCCGTAGTAGTTGTGGTAGCCACGTGGTAGCGGTAGCTGTACAAGTAGCGGTGGTGGGACCGGTAGCGTCAGCGGTAGCTGTAGCAGTAGCAGTAGCGAGGCAGAAGCAGAAGCAGAAATAGAGTAGCAGTAGCAGCACCACCACTAGCAACAGTGGCAGTAGTAGTAGTCGTCGTCGTCGACGCACTCGCCGTGGTCTTCGCGCACTGCTGTAGCAGAAATTCTCTACACTGGCACATTTCCGTGCCGGGTGTTGCAAGTCGAGGCAATTTTTGTATCCAAGCGTTGCCAAAGATCATGATCATCATGGTAGTAGTTATGACCAAAGCAAATTCACAAGTAAGGAGATTGAGAGTAGGTGCAACCAGAACAGAAGCAGTAACAGTCTTTGGGTCCATCGTCTGTTCCACAGGCTCAGCACCCGATCTGAATCCGTGAGCTCCCGGGTCTCGACTCCCACATCCAGACTTTGAATCCCTACACAACTCGCCCTCCTCGGCATACCGCCTCCACAGTCCACGTGAGCACATGGCTAAGATGCAGGCTCCCTTGTTCGTCTTGGCACGGTTCTGCAAGACCCTCACCACACCCTGGCAGAGGGTCTGGCTGAAAGCCCTCAAGCACCTAAACCCCACAACCCGGAAACTAGCCTACACTCCGAAACCTGAAACCCCACAACTCAGTGCTCTGACTTCCAGGGCAACTCTCAAGAAACTGACCCAAAAGAAATCAACAGAGCACACCACTCCCTGTCCAGAGATGGTCTTCGCATGTCCAGGAATAAGACGAACAAACCTATCTGTCTATCTATCTATCTATCTATCTATCTATCTATCTATCATGTATTTGTCTATCAAGCTATCTATTTTTACTTACTTTCTTTCTTGCTTACTTTCTTCCTTGCTTACCTATCTATCTATCTATCTGTCTATCTATCTATCTATCTATCTATCTATCTATCTATTCATGAATGTGAAGCAGTAAGACGCGTGAAAGTAGCGAGGGTTCCAGTTGCGAGGCTTCGGTTTCGGAATCAAAGCCTGCGAGCTTCAGTCTGCAGCTTATGGAGCCCTTAGCAAACCGTTACAATCGGTTTTAGGGTTTCGAATTATAGGGTTTAGGGTTTAGGGTTTAGGGGTAGAGGGATAGAGGGGCCTTCATGATCATTTTTTGGGGTTTTTGGATCATATGGACTGTGAAATGGAAACATACGGAACCCAAAAGACTTGTGTTGGTGATTATTCAAGCCTCTATACTCGAGCCTTTACAAAACCTTTCTCCAAGAACTGTTCGATTCGAACCATGTGGAGCCCTTTGGCTTTGCGGAACACTCCTAAAGATCGGATTGCATTTCGACAGACACATTGCAAGATCCATAAGAAGTCGAAAGATTTAAGGGCACTGCCCCGGCTCTCAAGAGCCTGGATCAACATCTTCGCCAGCGTCTCCACCTCCGCATCATTCCTGCAGGTAAACCCTAACAACGACCCCTGAGAACACCCAAGCCCCAAACCACGGTTTAGGGTTTAGGGATCACCATTGTAGTCACCATGAGCTCTTACGCCTCCGCGGCATGAAATCATCATGAGAGCAGAAGATTGTCATTCCGGCTCTGCCTATCTAAACAGAGGGTGCAGGCTGGTGCATTGTGACGCAGCGATTCTCATTGTTGGTGGAGAGCGGCAATCCAAAAAAGGCAGGCAAGGATTACCATTATACATAATCCCTACCGGAAACCCAACACAGCAACAATCCTAGCGTCACTCTTAGCACCTTAAATGGAAGAGCCTCTCTAGCTCAGGACCACAAGCTCGTAGTGCCAGAAATTCTTGCGGTGTCTGTGCAAGCAAGCGAAGGCCCGTCTCCGGGATCTGCAGACTTCAGCCCTAAACCCTAAGACCCTAATGTAGGAACATTTCAATGGGGTTGTGGGGGTAGTATACTCTAAACATAAAAGGGAGAACCCCAAAATAGTACAGACAATTGATAAGGCCCTATATTAAACCCAAGACCTCATCCAACCTGAACCCAGACACTCTCTCTTGAGTTCGGAGCGCTCTTGTTGAATAAAGTGAACCTCATTTTACGGGAACTCAAGTATCCACCCCCCGAATTATAAAACTCGACACCGGAAGCTCAATAATAAGCCCGTCCTGGTTCCTAAAGGAACACTTGAGCCCCTTCAGTCAGCCCTCCCAGAGAGCAGAGAGAGTCAGCGAGCCTAGGGTTTAGGGTTTAGGGTTTAGGGTTTAGGGTTTAGGGTTTAGGGTTTAGGGTTTAGGGCGCCCCCCCTCAATAGTCAATGCCCCCTGCCGGGGCCTGAAAACAATCGAGGTGGGCTATTGAAATAAAGCCAACATTAGCCCCTAAACCCTAAACCCTAAACCCCTAGACCCTAAACCCTACACCCTCAACCCTGAACCCGGTGGAGGCTTTCGAACTCCGACACCCTACATCCCCAACCCCCGACCTTACACCCCAAACTCCAAGCACCAAGCCCTGCCTATACTCCAAATTCCATACCTCAAACCCATATCTCCAACAATCCATGTCTGCGTAAGCCCTTAAACCCTAAACGGCAACATCCTGAACCTGAAACCACTGAATGCTGAACCCCAAACCCTTAAACCTTTGCCTCAACCTTACAATCCAAAGCTCAAAGCCACCACCCCCAGCCCTTCACCCAAACTTGTGCCAGCATAAACGGCACTTCGAAGTTGACGACACCCTGAAACCTGCATCTAAACCTCGCCACCCCAAGCCTTGGTTTAGGGTTTAAGGGCAACCCCCTCGTACAAGCCGAAAAGGGGAACCCAAGTAAGACCCGTAACAGAACACTGCATGCTCTCTCCCACAACTCGAACCCCCACCCTCCCCCCCTTTTGCCTTGGCTTCTTGTTCTCTGCGTTTGCTTCGCTCTCGGCGGGCCGCTTGCCCTGCGCCCGAGGGGGAAGACGGGGATCCAGGAGACCCTAAACCCTAAACCCTAAAACCCTAAACCCGAAACCCGGTTTAACAAATAAGGGCTTCCGGGCTTAGGGGCTCAAGGACTCTGCTTTACCGCCTCAGGGTTTAGGAGGCTTGCGGCTTCGACCGCAAAGGTTGGTCCGACTCAGTTCAAAAAGATAGGGCTTAGGGTTTGGGGTTTGGGGATCAAGACTTCCATAGTTTAGGGTTTAGGGTTTAGGGTTTAGGGTTTAGGGTTTAGGGTTTAGGGTTTAGGGTTTAGGGTTTAGGGCTGGTTAGAGGTGGGATTTGATCCGTGTACAACCTCTGCCTCTACATATGTGGAGCAATAAGACCACCTGAACAAGTTTCCGGCTGAAGCCATCCAGCAAGTCTCGGCACGATGACAAGGAGGACGGCGCCGGTGTTCAGGTTTTGGAAGAATATGTCTGGGGCAGTACGTTTAAGAATGTTTAAGATCCCAAAGCTTCGCAACCCCGGAGCCTGTGACTCCCATTCCCCTCAACGAATTTCCCGGCCTCGCATGCAAAGTGGCTCTCTCACCCGTTCTACGCCTTCCCTTGATCGGCTGCTAGGGGCCCCGTCCAGCTGAGCAAAGGCAGCAAGCCCACATGTTGAAAGGGTTGACTAGGGCCCAAAGCCCCTGTTGATTGGCATGAATTTGTATTCGGGTATCGCCCCTTTACCCCACCCCCCACCCCCGCCCCCCACTCCTACAAACCTTCGCTTTTTGTCGGCCTCCACAGGGCCCGGTGCCGGTGCTGCCTTCGAAGGCGGTGCTGCCTCACTGCAATTAAGGTAGGCAGGGAAGTCGTGGCTTGGAGTTTAGGAGACCTAGCTGCCACGATCTAGTTTAGGGTTTAGGGGTTTAGGGGTTTAGGGTTTAGGGTTTAGGGTTTAGGGTTTAGGGTGTAGGGTTTAAGCCTTATATAGCTGCTGAGGATCGTGCAGGGGACCCGAATCCTGCCACACCCTGGCCGTCCGTCGCATGTATGCGTATGCACGGCCGGCCATAGTTACATGCAGATGTTTGGTATGTGCTTCTGCCTTGCTACCTGGTTGAACTCCGTCTCTTTCCAATCGACCGACGTCTCTATATCGGCACAGGGCCGTGCCAGTCTTCTTTGCCTATCGAGGTACTGGTACCCATTTACGCGTCTGCGCGAGTCTGTCGTTCCTGTGTGCTCTGCGCCGATGTGGCAGCCGCCAAGAAATGACATCCCAGCTACAAGCCGGGGTCCTACTAGAATCCCCCTAAACCCTAAACCCTAAACCCTAAGCCCTAAACCCTAAATGTATAGAATCCTGCAGCACTCAAGTCCCCGATACGGGACTTGAAGTGCCCCTTGTAGGGGATTAGGGTTTAGGGTTTAGGGTTTAGGGTTTAGGGTTTAGGGTTTAGGGTCTAGGGTTTAGGGTGTAGAAACCCTTCTGATAACCTCTTTAGTAATCCCAAGCCCCTAAGGGGTCTCCCTAAGACTACTTACTCTTGATGATATTAATCCTGCATTACCTTAAGGACCCTAAACCTGTGGCGAATTATGGTATATTCCTTTTTATGGCCCTAAACCCTAAACCCTAAACCCTAAACCCTGCACGCCTCAAAGGGTGCACGGCAGCTCCAAGTGCTCAACAAGGATCTTGACACGTTGTAGCGGTAGTGAACACCCCACAGCGCAAAAGAATGGCGCGGAAGCGGGCTTCCCTTTTTCTACTCGGCTACCCCAGCCTGTGATCCATAGCTTCGGAGACCAACCTTGCGTCGAGGAGCACACGAGTGATTCAATCACTTGCANNCCCTGGGTTTCAGGAGTTAAACTACTCGGCAAATCTTGCACTTGAGTCTGGTCAAAAGGCTCCGGGCTGACCTCATTGTTGGGTCTTCAACGATCCGCCACATGAACCGCATCTTGTAGTAGAGCTCGAGTTCTTTTCCCCCTCGTTTTGTCAAGGCATTAGCCAACTGGGCCTCCGAATGGACCCATCTGACCTTCAGATTGGTAGCCATCTGCGACTCCTTCACGCTCAGGAGTTCCAGGGTGGACTTTTTCTCTGCGCCTTGCACTGTCAGCACTTCCGTCACCAGCTTGTCGTATACATTTCTGGAATCAGTGATCAAGCAACCATCCACCTTCTTGACCACTGAGGAAGGTGAACGAAGATCCACGTTTCCATACAGCATCTCAGACCACTGGTAGCGCATGTAGAACAGCGAGTCCTCGCCATTCACTGCTGCTTGTGTCTCTGCTGAGCCAGGGCTTCGGCAACTGCGGTCAATCTTTGTAGAGTGCCATGACATGGGGCTAATGGCACACACACTCCCTTGCATCAACTGCTTAGACGAAGCTCCAATGAAGACTCCTTGAGTGCTACCGTCCCCAGTCCTATTCTTATTAACAGCATCCACCCAAGCATAAAACTGCATGTCGTCGTCATCATGCCGAAAAATGCAAAGCTGGTGGTCCTTGCGGGCTCTAGCATGTTGCAACAGCATGTTGGCTTGATCGATGGTCTCTACTCGGGATTTAGACACCTCAGACAACATCAAACTCACTTCAGCGGCGATGTGCGGTCCTGTCTGCTGGGCGTACCAGCTGAGGCCCCCAAGAAGGGCCCGTAGCTGGGTCTTCTCCCAGTCGGTGGTGTCTGCTTTCTTGTCCTTGCGGCGCTGAGCGTTGACATGTATCTCCTCCAGGTTGGAAAGATAATGTGGCTGGGACAAAGTGAACCCTTCACTGGTGGTCTCAATCTGAACTCCACATTGAACAAACTTATCCTGATCCCAGTCACCCCACTTGAAACGCTCCTTAATCAACCGAATGATCTCCTGCCAACCGGTGTCTTCATCCGATCCCCCGAACAAGAAATCATCCACATGCCCCGTAATCATCCCTCTTAGAACCCCTTGCGGACGCCACACCCATGCACATGCGTCGCTCCACAGTCTTGTAAGTCCAATGGACTCAAGAAACTCAGCCACTGTCCTATACCACTCCAGTGGTGCGTCCACTAATCCGTAGCACGCGCGCTTCAATCTGACTATTGACCCTGCTGGGAGGTTCATGCTTTCCAGGATTTCGTCGCAGGGTATGCAAAAGAGCTCGCTCGGATATTCCCGGCCTTGGAGGAACGCTCCAGTGATGTCCCCCTTCTGGATTCTCCATCTGTGGTTGTGGTTGATCGAAAGGCGTAGTCGGGGTCCTGGTAGCCTAATAATATGGCCCTGGCCTCAGGCCGGACACTCCCGTCTTCCTGAGCCTTCCAGGTAAGCAACCACCTCATGCCGATGGCTTGCTCTTTTGAAGGCTTCAGATGCTCCGGAAGTGCCTCGAAGGCTTTTGCTCCTATGAAGTTGCGGACCTCCTTATTCTTTGCCTCGCGAAATCGTTCCCTGTCTTCAGGGGATAGGCGTTTCTCGCTGACCTCAACGGCTCTCCTCTTGAGGGCCCCCACGAAGTAGGCCTGTGGATTGTTGAAGAAGCGGTCCCAACCTTTATTGCTGTTTGGCATCTCCAACTCGATGGCCACTGCAGCGGTCTCGTCGGCCCAGTAGCAAGTTTCCTCGGCGGCCCAGGCTTGTTCTGGGACTTCGTCTCGCCACGTTGCGTTGGCGCCTTCATGTTGGTGGGGACCTGGAAGTTGGTCTCGTCGTCGTACCACACTTGGCTGACCCGGCTCGTTGTTGTCCGAGTCCTCCAGGTCCAGGTCTTCGCCGCGCTCCGGTGCAGGCTGCTTCCCTCGGATGCGGCTCCTTCGTGGTAGCACCTCCTCCACTTGGTCTTGTGCACGTTGCCACTCGCTTGGAGTGGGCACTTCTTCACTGATATCCTCGTACTGCGTTCCCCCAATCTCCTCGGCCAGACGCGTATAGGTCCAGGGAGTCTGATCTTCCGTGGCCAAAGACTCCACTAACTCCTCCCTTTGGCTGGCTGGCCGTAGTTGCTCTGGGCTGCACTTCATCAAATGCCGCCCTCTCACCACCCAGATGGCATGTGAAGGGCGCGCTTCGCCCTCCTCTGACTGTCTTGTCTCCATGGCCAATATCCGTGCGGGCCCAAGGAAGCGCCCTTGAGCTGTCCCAGGGCACCTTCTCCCTTTCCCGGACTCTTGTGTCCTCCAGAAGTATACTAAGTCTCCGGGATGATATCGATGACTGGGCCTTGCACGGGAATTGGCTGCTCTGGTCAGCCTTTGTTGGGCTTGCCACTCAACCAGTGCCTTCTCTGCGGTCGCCCGCAGTTCCGTCTCTTTGCGGAAATCCTGAAGTGGTTGATTCAGGATCACGTCGTCGTGGATTTGTTGGTTTCCAAACACGTGGCGTCCAGTCTCATCCGGCGCACAGCCTAGTACGTGTTGTGCAGGTGAAAAACCTCTGATCATTTCCCGATGGTTGAACGTACTTACAGCCAGGCTCATAGCCTGCTCCGCGGTCAAGCTGGGATCCTCGATGCTCAGCTTTGTCATGACGGTCTTAAGTCCCTGAATGGCATTCTCGGCCGTACCGATCTGCCAATGAGCTTCGCCCGGAATAATGTCCAGGTATATCTCATTCCTATCACAGAAGTCTTCTACACTTGAGGACCTAAAACTGCCAGCAGGATCGAGCCTCAAAGCTCTCGGCTTCCCAAACACTTGGATACATCCTTCGGAGAGGAAATTTAGGCAGGTCGCAGCGTTCGGGGTTTGTTTGTTTCCCTTGGAAAACACCTTGGCAACTCTAAATCGAGAACCCTCATCAACCACCATCATGAAGTTCTGCGTCTCTCCACTGTTGGGGCAGTTCCAATGGCCTAAGTCCGCCGACACCGTATGAAACTTAGGGGGCAAGGGTTCAAGAGAGGCCAATTGCCGGGGTTGAGCTTTCTTCCTCTCGTGACAAAGGAACTCTTCAGCAAGCTTAAGGACCAGCGGATCCACATTCCTACGCTTCAGGGCGTTGATCAGATTTCGGGTGCTCCCATGTCCAGTGGCAGCATGAAGAAGATACAACTTCCGTTTGATTTCCTCCTCAAGCTGAGTCCCCTTCTTCGCTGGCCGTTGGAACACAGCCTGAACATCTTCTTTCATCCTACGACCCTGCCACTGAAAGCCACACTCCTTAAGCAGCTGAAATTCCCTTTCACTCAAGTGTTCAATCCCTCTACTTGTGTACCCTCCCAGGATTTGACGGTGTCCTTGCCATGCTTGTACAGCATGCCACTTCCTTGCATCAAACACGACCACCTGGCGCCGTGTAGCCCGGAGATGTCCTGACTTGTACTCGCCTGACGGAAGCTGTTTGTTGTAGCTGGGATAGGACTGACCCAATTGGTGACCTTCCAACCACAATTCGCCATGCTGATACGCAGTCACTCCTATGACGTAGTTCTTTGAACCAGGGAGGTTGTTCACATCTCGGTGGACCGTCATGTGGCAGTTGTCGTTGATGACCAAACTACTACATCTAACGGGTTCAGGAGACCAGTGTTGACAACAAGTATTGGCACGTTTCCCTAAGCTGATACGTCACCTTGGTGATGCCATAGTGGTTTCCATAAGCGTAAGTACCAAGGATCAGATATCGGGGTTTCTCCTGTTGATGGGCTTGGCGGGGATGACTCTTGCTTTGGTAGGGTAAGAGGGTGAGGAATCGTTCACAGCTTCGATGGCTATAATCTTGTTTTTCAAGGAGTTCTCGAGCGGCGGTTTCGGCTTGGTTCAACTGCTCCTTAGTGAAATGAACTTCCTCATCCCAATCCGAAACACAATTTCCCAGAAATCCTTCACCCTGTTCCGAAAGACCCTGCCCTTCTGAAACATCCGAACTTTCCACGGCCCTTCCGAAATCACCCAAATCTTGTCGTCCCATCAAACAACTTGCACAAGTCCTGGGATTGTGAGGCATGCTCACTTCGCCACAAGTACAAAACTCTCCCCCTCCAAAGGCCTGGCACAAATAGCTGAACCCCTTACATTCTTGAAGAGTCTCACTATGGCCCATTTCCTGAACCAATACCCTGGCAACCCGATACGCGAAGTCCGGTGTGTACCGGGCTGTCGTAAGCCCTGTTTTCCCGGTGCATCGACCATGCACATAGGACTTGGAACATCGACATGGTGCCTCCAAGGTGGTTGCCAGCCGCTTGTGCGTTGTAAGGACACGCCAGCCCCTCTGAACAAGCCTACCACTCTGAGAGACTCCTTCAAATTGAAAGCACATCCACTAGCGACCGCCTTGAACAGATTATACTTCTGTTGCAGCTGGTTGAGCAAAGGTAAGCGCCAGGCATCAGACCGATCCGCTACTTCCAAAGGTAACATGGATTCCCTTTTGGATGGCGTAGTGCATAACGCAGGTACATCCAACAAACACTTTGAGGGCTTCCCTACGCTTGGCTTTGAGGGCTTCAGCTTGGGTTTTATCCGCTTGGTTCGAATGCTGCAAAGGAGAGAACGCACTTCCCGGGGGGCTCAGCCACACATGTTGGGGTCGCTCAGCTTCGATCCTAGCCATGATCAATCGCACTCCGGCATCACATGATAAGTCACAGCCATTGTACAATGCACACCGCGTCGCGGCTTCCTCGCTTTTTGCAACCGTTTGCACAGTGCTAGAGAGGATGCTGTCGGCTTCACAGGCACATTCCATGAGATAGGGCCTTTGGAAGCCTACAAGGGACTGAAATAAATCAGGCACAACAGACCAAGCTTGCCTCTCCAGGGCCCGGGCTCGGTTGAAAGGAAGCGCTCGGGTGCTCTGGCTTTTCAGCTGGGCACTCAACCGCTGGGAAGCACTCATAGTCTCGTGCTCCTGGTGAGAACCTACGCTAGGCTCGCTCACAGATCGTGTTCCATCTCCTTCTGGGGGGAGTTGCTCAGGACACTGAACGAGCCGTCCGTGAGGTGGCCCTCGTCGCTCTTGCCCGCTGTCTTGCGTGGTCGCTGGCCCTTCACCTCGGCCAGCTCTTGTCTCACGGATTCCAGGGCTTCGGCAATCTCGCCCATCATCCTCATGTCCGTGCTGGCCCGACTTCCACTGGCTCGCCCGCCTTGCGTCGTCGAAGTCATCGGTCCTCGCATCTTCATGTAGCCCTGCTCCTTGCGAAGCATTGCCTTGGACTTGGGCAAGGGCTTCTGGTCCTGATCCAAGAGCCATTTCGCCAATCGCGCCAACCGTGGTTCCACATGTTCCTCGCCGTTCTCCTTGTAGGTTGTCTTGACCCATGTGGCGTACTCGGGATACTCCGTGGCCAGCGTGATGTAGCGCTCGTCCGCATGCTTCCCGAAACTGACCAAGTCGTGGCCCTCGGCAGGGCACACCCGGTGTATCTCCTTGGTGGCCTTGTCGATCAACTTGGCCATCACTTCGTTGCCCGTGAGCTCTAGCTGCAACGTCTCGGTGCAGTACTTGGTCAGCGTGCTCTTGAGCCGGCTGGCCCTCCTCAGGTCCTTCATCATCTTCTCCATGCTCGTGTTCGCCTTCACGTCCTCGTGGTCGGTCACCCCCATCTCGCGTAGCTCCCGAAGACGTTGTTCCAGCTCCAGTTTGGTCCATCCCGCTGGTGCCGTCTCTCCGAGCAAGGCAAGCTCGGCCTGAAGGTCCGCCTTGGTGGGCTTCGGCATGATCAACACTGAGGAGGCCTTGGTTGGGGCTGCTACCGTGCGTATCCTGGAGCTCACAATCAGCTGCGAACGTCACAGATCTCCTTCTGCTCGTCTGTGGTGGCTCACTCTGTGCCGTTTCACCAGACTCAAGTACAGATTGACTAGCATCACTACCATGAATTCCATCAACATCACTCCTGAAACCCAGCTCACTACTAGAAATAGTGTGCTGCAGAGTGGTTTTCACCCCGTGTCCCGCTGTATCTGGGACCTTCACTGCTCCCACGGAACTAGGAACAGGAAGGAGCTGTCCCTAAATGTTGACAAAACTGCTCAGACTGGGGACTGGGCTTTTGGTGGCCTGGCCTTTGGCCAACCAATCCTCTGTCATGGGAATGAGTTGATGTCCCGTCTGAGATCGTTCGACCTGCACAAGCTTACCATCATCCAAAGCCCTGAAGCACACCAGATCACTCTCGAAGTCAATGATGGCCTTAAGCTTGCGCAATGTGTCGATAGACAAAAGCATTGGCCCACCGCCCCTGTCGAGGCAGTGGACTTTGACCTCTCCTGGCTTCTTGTCGGCATTGATCCGAAGCTGTACAGTGGAACTGCACCTATCCTCAGACCCATTACCGAATCCGAAAACTGGGCGCTCAGACAGGTCAACGGAAATCAGGCCGGAGTCGCCCTTCTTCATGTTGTTCAGCTGCATGGTCCGCTCCATCGCGCTGATGGAGGCAAGCGTCTTGGTCGCCCCGCCGTCAATGACGGCCTTGCCTTGTTGCACAGCATCTGCTGTGCTGATACCCATGGCCATGGCCTGCATCGGATCTGCACTTGGTTCCACCAAAGTTCCAGCTGACATAGCCTGCGGGCCATCGCTGAAGCACGCAAAAGAGGAGGTCGCTGAGATTGGCTCGGCGCTCTTAGCTGCCGCTGTTGGTGGGTCGGGGCAGTTCGCCACCCGGTGTCCAGTGCGACCGCAGCGTAGGCACACCATCTTCTCATCCCGTCCTTTTCCTCCCTCGCGTGGGGTGGACCCTGCATTGGTCCGGAAGTACTGTCGGGCCAGGCGGACGCTGTTCTGCTTCTGCCTGGCATCCTTCAGCGTGCGGCGGGCTTGGTGCATTGCCGCCAGGGCCGCCTGAGCTTCCTGCTCAGCCTCCTCCCACTCTTCGTGGTGTTCCGCCTCCATGATCGTGTCATTCTCCTCGAACAGGGCCTCGTCATCCTCATCCTCGTCGTAGTGGCGCTCGCCGAGGTACCCGGTGTTCTTCGCCCCGTAGTCGCGACGCTGTCCATCCAGCACCGCACACTGGTTCCTCAGCTCCTCCACCACCTTGGTGTAGGAGAAGTCGCCCTGCAAGGCTGTCTGCACGACGTTCTTCTCCTGGGCCGTGAGCCCCGAGTCGTGGAGCAGATACCATCCTTGGACGTAGTCTGGCAACACTCTGGGACTGCCGGTTCCTGCCGTCGGTCTTGCCAGGACCAGTAGTGTCCCCATGGGCTCCCTCGCCATGAGGAGCTCCACCCATTCCACCCATAGCCCCATTCATAGTCGCTCCACGCGTGGTTGGAGCTGCCCGTGGCCGTGGTGGTCGCGGTGGTGCCGTTGTCCTCGGTCTCCTCCTGGTCCTCGTCGTGCTGGTAGTCGAAGCTGCTCCGCCTGCTCGAGTTCCATGTAGGATTCCATGCTGTCAAAGGCGTTGTTCGATTCCTTGTCCCGGAGGAAGCCTGCAATGGGCTGACTCGCTGTAGAGCCTGACAAGCCCTCAAGTAGATCTCGCTCTTCCTTGCTATGTAGCTATTGATGTCCTCATTGTTGCGTCGGCGGGATCCCTTGAAGTACTTGCTCAGGTGTTCCGTGAGGTCCGAAACCTGTGGTTTGCCCAATGCAGCACGGAGGTGCTGCATCAAGGTGGTCACACCCTGGTTGTGGGACAGCCAGCTGGGAGCTCGTCCAGCCACTAGGCGTTTTGCTGCCCCTTTCAAGGCTGCTGCCAGCTTTGGCCCACACAGGTAGCGCTTCTCGTAAGCCACAGACTGTTCCCATAGCAAGCTACTCTCCTCATACTCTTGGAAAGAGCTGGCATCTCCATCCCAGCTCGGTGGCCCCTCATGGGCCTTGCTGCCCTCCCCTGAGGTCATGGTTCCAGCCGGAGGCCAAGCGTCCAGCTGTCGTAGGTCCCTGGATCGTCTCAAGCTCTCAAAGCCTCCGCAGAGGCTCCGCTACCATGCACGCCTCAAAGGGTGCACGGCAGCTCCAAGTGCTCAACAAGGATCTTGACACGTTGTAGCGGTAGTGAACACCCCAGAGCGCAAAAGAATGGCGCGGAAGCGGGCTTCCCTTTTTCTACTCGGCTACCCCAGCCTGTGATCCATAGCTTCGGAGACCAACCTTGCGTCGAGGAGCACACGAGTGATTCAATCACTTGCAAACCCTAAACCCTAAACCCTAAACCCTAAACCCTAAACCCTAAACCCTATCTATCATCAACCCTAGGAACTGAGCCATTCGCCTTCGCCTTGGAAGTCCCGGCGGCTGCGGCCTGGCGTTGGCTTTCGGGCATTAGGGTTTAGGGTTTTAGGGAATTTGAAGATTTTTGGGATTTTAGGGATCTTAGGGGTTTTAGGGATTTTAAGGATTTTAGGGGTGTTGGGGGTTATTTAGGGGTTTTGGTGGCTTTTGGGGGTTTTCGGGTTTGGTGTAGTATAGGGTGTATTGGGCAGGACCTGGGGGACTTGGTTTTGGGGGGCGAAATTGGAACACTTCTGCTTGTCCCAGCCGGCCTTCGCAGCGTTTCGCGTGGCAATCTCACGCCGATACTTCTTGTCCTTGCGGTTTTGGGCTCTGTGGTTTGCGGATTGAATCTGAATGTGTTACAATGTTGCTTCCTCCTTTGCACAGGGTCTTCCAAACAAAACCTCCATTGCAACCAGGAACTTTGCCAACCCCCTCTATCAATATAGCAGACTCCGTAAACCATACCCCAAACCCTGTTCGAATCTTCCGGAAATAATATATATCCAAAACGAGAGTCCCCTCCAGCAGCCAGGTTCTCACAGTCACATCAACGAACTGTAGGAGCTGGGGGTCTTTTAACCTTATGTCAGAATCCGAAAACTCAGCCGACTCGCCTCTACCCAATGCCTCGCGACAGGAAACGCGCAGCATTGCAAGCCAAACACCTGCAACCTGAGCACTGATCCAGTGCCCGGTGTGCCGAGTGCCAAAATAACGGATCACAAAAACGCAGGAAACCTGACGAGCCCAGAGAGCTTGACAAACCCTGCATCCCTGGATGTCACACCTTACGCCCTCCGCCGAACTTCGCAGCATAGCCGCAGAGACAAGATCCTCTGCAAATGCCAAGCCCCCGATGCTGACTTACAGCTAAAAACCCTAATCTTCGCTAAGCCACTCCTCAAACCCCTAAACCCCTAAAACCACAGAAGCAAGAGACTGCGGCCGCAGAGAGATCCAAGAAACCTGCAACCCATATGCATCATAGCCCCGAACCCCTGTGAAACAACCCAAACTTACGATGCCTTTTACCTCCCCCCGCTTTCTGCATGTCCTCTTCGATGAGCCGCGCTCGATCGATGTCTGCGAGGCGGAATTAACGCTTGCAATTGAGGGCTGTTTCGGGTACTGTCAGTGGCCACCGCCTGCTGCTTGTGTTCTAGCTTCAACGAAAAGCCCGAAACCGGCATATCCAGGGGTCTGAGTCTCTATCTATTTTCCTATCTATCTACCTGCCTACCTACCTACCTGGCTATCCATCGATTCTATCCAACAGAATCTAAATGTCTATTTATGTTTTTGTTTATTTATTTATCTACGTATCATTTATTGAATAAATACTCTTCGTGTATTTACTGAATAGTTTACGTGTGTGTGTGTGTGTCTGCTTGTTTCTGTTTCGGTTCCTTCCTTGTGCAGTCTCGCAATGGTCAGGGTAACATTCGGGAAGTGGATCCGGCTCTGAGGCCAAAGAACTGCAACTTGAAGCACAAACCCTAAATATGAAAAATACACCAAATAGGTCATATATATATATATATAGAGAGAGAGAGAGAGAGAGCAATAGCTTATCGATTATAAAACCTGATGTACACTATAACAGTATATACATAGTATCCGCCGACCCCGCTGGGGC